TCAGGCTCTAACTTCACCTCCATGTAGTTTGTAGTTCTGAATATGGTGTACCATGTTGCCAACTTAGGATAGTAGCTAGATACTCAGCCATGTCATGTGAGTTGATGCTAATGACCATCAGGCTTAGTGGGTCCCCTTCGTTGTACATCTTAGGCCTGGTTCACACCTGGGCGTTTTGTAGTGCGTTCGAACGCTCTGCAAAATGCTCAAACACCGAAATCCCATTATTTCCTATGGGTATGGTTCACACCTGGGCGTATTACAGGCCGTATGAACGCGCTACAAAACGCCCTACGCCCAAAGAAGTACAGGAGCTTCTTTGGGGTGTTTTTGTCACGCGTTTCCATTGGGGTACAGCCAAGTAGCCCTCGGAAACGCGCGTTTTGTCACGTGTTTTTTTTTACCGCGAATCGCACAACAAACGCTCATATTCGATACGCCTAGGTGTGAACCCAGCCTTAGGTAGTCCAGACAGGCATGAAGAAGTTTCCCTGCGAGAGAGACGGTGGTACAAGGGTCCCATCGATGGTTTTTACCTTTTATAGCGATCACCTTTTTCTTGTAACAGTTAGTGGGGTCCATCCTTAGTGAATAATACGTATTGGCATCCCTGAGAAGAGTGGTCACCTTAAAATGATAGTCTGATGTTTTCATGGCCACGGTGCATCTCCCCTTGTCTGCTGGCAGGACAATAATTGTCAGATCCCTACTAAACAATGAAAGAGCCCTCCTCTCTAGTGGGATCAAGCTGGATGGAGGTGCTTTGGCAATGGACAGGACAGCGGAGACCCTCAGATGACGTTGTTCAGCCTCATTACCAATACGTGGATATTATGGACATTTCTGTAGCTGTGAAGATATCCACCACAGGGCCATGTCAAGGGGCCACAGTGAAGGGTGGATATTAGGGATGCAACAAAATTTCAGCCGCTGAAACATATCGGCTGAAAATGGTACTTTGGGAAAAATCCAGAAAGTACCATCTTTTGGCCGAAATTGTGGTGCATCCATAGTTAACTCTTCTCCCCGCTGGGCGCTGCTCTGTGTCCCCTCTGACACAGCAGGGGATGAGAGAAACCTTCAGGAGGCTGAGTGGGGTGGGGAGGAGAGTGCGGTCAGTGGTCTGTCACAGGAGGCCGAGCTCTATTCCCACACCACCCCGCTCGGCCTTCTGTTACAAGCAGAGACTCAGCCGAAGAAGCCAGGATGGAGAGCGGTTACAAGCACTCAACGATCAGCTGATCGCTGTTTGTAAATAATTGAAGACATAGTGAAGGGAATTTATCGAAACTGGAGCAGACAAAATCTGGAGCAGCTGTGCATGGCAACCAATCAGAATCTCTATTTAGTTTTTGAATCTTAAATGAAGAGAGAAGCTGATTTATTGCCATGCACATCTGCTCAAGATTTTGTCTGTTGCAGTTTTGTTAAATTCTCCCCGGTATGTTTACTGTGTCCCCAATTATGAATGAACAGGAAGTGTTCTACATCACTTCCTGTTCATTCCTGATTGTGGACATAGTAACTCGTACTAGCTCCACAGTTTATGAATGGACAGGAGCCTTAAGTATAGAGGCTTCCTGTTCATTCATAAGAGGTGCTGCAGAAAACAAGATTTAGGACTCTCTCTCTCTCCTAGGGATGCACAGATACCTGTTGTTTTTCAGTATCGAGTACCGATATTTTGCTTTCGGTACTCGCCAATACTGAGTGCAGATATCGGAAGTCTTATGAGGGCAACCGGGCGTCGTGTAAAGACTCCCACCCAGCTTCCCAATGAGCAGGGAAGCTGTCTCCATGCTCCCTTGTCACCAGGTGATGAGGAAGCATGGAGCTGGCTTTCTGGCCAATAAGGAAGACGAGCGCTGTGTAATGACTTGTTGGCTGGCTTCCTGATTGCCCAGCTTCTCGACCAATCAGAAAGCCGGGCAAAGAGTCATTGCTCGACTTCCTGATCCGCTGTGAAGCCGGCTCCGTGCTCCCTCGTCACCATGTGATGAGGGAGCATGAAGCTGGCTTTCTGGCCAATCGGGAAGCTGGGGGGGGGGCAGCAGGTAATGATTCACCGTCCGGCTTCCTGATTGGCTAGCTTCCCGACCAAGTGACGAGGGGTCTTGAAGCCGGCTTCCCGGCCAATTAGGAAGCTGGGCAGCGTGTAGTGACTCGTTGCCCGGCTTCCTGATACTGGAAACTGAAGTATCGGGCGAGGCATCTGAGCATTTGGGCGAGTATGAGTACTCACCCCAATACTTAGCATCGGCACCAGTACCAGTACCAGTAATGGTGCATCCCTACTGTGTCCTCAATTTCTTTTTCAATTTTAAAAGGGAAATATCAGACATCTGACTTTAAAGAAAACCTGTCATTAGAGACGTGCAGCTGTGAACCTGCAGATGGGAGGTACTAGATCCCGAACAAACCCTTTAATGCAAGGATGTCCAAACTGCGGCCCTCTCACTGTGGTGGAACTATGAATCCCATGAGGCTTTGCAAGATTCTCACAGCCGCAGACAGGACTCCCGGAGAGAGATGCTTCATGGGATTTGTAGTTTCGCCACAGCTGGAGGGCCTACAATGTGAGGGCTACAATGGGGTGCTTTATGTCTCGTGCGCATAGTAAAAGAATGGAGCCCCACGCTGAATCTTAGCAATCCAACAATAATAGGAAACAACTTTACTGAAAATAATATTCCAAAGAGAAGAACAACTCACTAGACCGGGTTTCAGCAGCTGGTGTTGGGCGTTCAATACGTTGATCCTAATTATAAGGAGCCTCGTCTTCCTTCAAGAGTTGTCATTGACCCAGAACAAGGATGCAGCTCAAGAAGGTCAGACAAAAATCACTCCGTACTTATTGATCGGTGACTCAAAGTATTGATGCAAGAAGGTCACAATGACCCCCATTTTCACAGGTAGGAGGTCAGCAATAGAAGCGTCAGCATTTCATTCGTCAAGAGGAAGGATCAGGCTGTTGTCAGAGAAGTCCCCAAAGATCCCTATGAGACCAACGCTCACTTAAATCCACACCAAATCAGTGCAGCAATTCAGCATGAAACTACATTGCTTCTGTCCATGAGCTTCTTCTGTAATAAAGACCGCTCACTGCTGCTCTCTCTGCTTGTGCAGGGTGACTGGTCTTGTCTCCGCCCCCTCCTGTAATACAGACCGGTCACTGTTGCTCTCTTACCTTGTGCTGGGTGACTGGTCTGGTCTCCGCCCCCTCCTGTAATACAGACCGGTCACTGCTGCTCTCTCACCTTGTGCTGGGTGACTGGTCTTGTCGCTGCCCTCTACAGTAATAAAGACCTCTCACTGCTGTTCTCTCTCCTTGTGCAGGGTGACTGGTCTTGTCTCTGCCCATTCCTGTAATAAAGACCGCTCACTGTTGCTCTCTCTCCTTGTGCAGGGTGACTGGTCTTGTTTCCGCCCCCTCCTGTAATACAGACCGCTCTCTGCTACTCTCTCTCTCCTTGTGCAGGATGACTGGTCTTGTCTCCGCCCCCTCCTGTAATAAAGACCGCTCACTGTTGCTCTCTCTCCTTGTGCAGGGTGACTCGTCTTGTTTCCGCCCCCTCCTGTAATAAAGACCGGTCACTGCTGCTCTCTCTCCTTGTACAGTGTGGCTGGTCTCTTCTCCGCCCCCTCCTGTAATAAAGACCGGTCACTGCTGCTCTCTCTTTGCGCAGGGTGACTGGTCTTGTCTCTGCCCCTTCCTGTAGTTTGCTATAGGCAGCCTTCCACTGCCTATAGAAAACATGCATCCACTTTTTATGGAAGACAGGTACTCTTTACTCATTAACTCCATCAGGACAATAGATGGGGCTGACACTTTTCCTCTCTCTCTATTATATCATGAGCATGCATGCCATGATGTAAATGCTTAAATTATGCATACCACCAGCTCCCTGTGCTCCCCACACCTTGCTCTGTATATGTTGGGGGGAATTTATCAAAACTGGAGTAGCTGTGCATGGCAACCAATCAGCATTCATCTGATGGGTTTCCATGGGCAAATGCTCCAGATTTTGTCTGCTCCAGGTTTGATACTGTGTTATTATTTTGGAGGAAGGCGTGTCCCCCCCTTCTGATCAATGTAGAATTTCAGGCGTGGTGTCATTGCGCCGTGCGTCCACCAGAGGGCGCGCCGTGTGTTAGTTACAACAAATTAAAGGTATTAATTTAAATGTCCCCGAACGTGCCGGACCCGGAGATGGTGGCCGCCGTCCTCCGCAGACTCTTCCCTTCCTGCCCACTGATTTTGATGCCTTGGGGCCGCCCCAGGAGGGAGATAGAAGCCGGCAAACAACAGCCCCCCATCCGCCGATGCAGCACAATCGCAGGGCGCTGCTTTTAAATTGCACCTGGACGGGTCATCGGGACCCTCAATGGGGCAGATGTGCCCGGGGTAGCGTGGGAAAACGTCTGCAGGGCGGGGGTGCCGGGGTGGCAGGGCCGGAGGGGTCGCACCTAAGGGGGCAGAGGGGGCAGAATGGGAAGGAAGAAACACAAGTTGCTGCAAAGAGCTGCTGAGGCTGACGCTGTTCTCAATTCGGTCCGCTCAGCGAGTACAAGAGGCAGCAGAGCCCCGACTGGCGGATCAGAGAGGCAGCAGCATCCCGGTCTAGAGCAAGCATCATGTCTCTGCAGCTGGAAGAGAATGTCCCTACCACAGAGGAGGAGGAGGAGGAGGACGATGATGATGACGAAGAAGAAGAAGAGGAGGAAGAATCCGACAAAAGGTCCTCTGGCAAGAGAAGCAAAGCAGCAGCCCCCTCCTCCTCCGGGTCCAAAAAGAAGAACAAGAAGAAGAACCAGCCAGGCAGGTACAGCCAGCTAGTGGTGGACACCATCCGCAAACTGGGCGAGAGGAACGGCTCTTCCCTGGCCAAGATCTACAGCGAGGCCAAGAAGGTGTCCTGGTTCGACCAGCAGAACGGCCGCACCTACCTGAAGTACTCGGTGAAGGCCCTGGTCCAGAACGACACCCTGGTGCAGGTCAAGGGGGTCGGTGCCAACGGCAGCTTCCGACTCAACAAGAAGAAGCTGGAGGGGGGAGTCCCGGAGAAAAAGGCGGCCCCTGCCCCCAAGCCCCCCCCCCAGAAAGCGCCTCCCAAAAAGAGCCCCAAGAAGACCAAGGCTAAACCCAAGCCTAAGAAGGAGAAGAGCAGCCCCAAGAAGAGCAGCCCCAAGCCGGCACCGGCCGCCAAGAGTCCCAAGAAGAAGGCGGCCAGCGGCGGGGGCAAGAAGGTGAAGAAGGCGGGCAAGCCGAGCGGGGCCAAGGTGCACAAGACCAGGAAGGCGTGAGGAGGGCTCTGGAGTGGACTGGGATCTTATGCTTGGAGCTTTGGGAGATCTACGAGCCTCAGTAGGGAATTGTGAGACTTGTAGTTCCACAGCTGCTGCTGCCCAGGGAAAACGCTTTATTTTCTGTTCGTGTAGTGATGGGATGCTTCTCTCTCTCTCTCCGGGGGGCTGAATGATCTCTAATACCCCTCCAGCCTTGGACGGGAGGGTGAGGAGAGCAAAAACGTTTCCTGCTTCTGTGCAATGTGGTTTCCGATGTCTACAATGAGCCGCTGTCTTCGAAGCACTTGAGCTGTTCCACCTTGAAACATCAGACTCCATTCGCAAAGCTAAGTATCTTTATTTCCAGCCATGTGACTGTCATTCTCAAATCTCATTGGACTCTGCTGTAAAGAACTGTCACTTTTTTGAAGATAAGTATCTTTATCCCGGTGTGCTGGCTTTGTGAATGGAGCCCCTTGCACCTGTCATCTTGGAACTTGCTGAAACAATGAGTGCTTTCCTATTGGCCACCGATTGGCGTCTCCGTAGAAACGGCGCTTGAAAATGACCGCTCCTTTGTTGGACTGGAGGGGGAGGGGAGGATGCAGTGATTGCAAAGTTTTCTTTGATTTTTTTTTTTCTGTGCTTGTTTTGTAAACTCGCCTGGACCACGACTCTTCATTTTCTTTTTAAATGTTGTGTTGAGCGCAATTTATAAGCTTTTTCTTTTGCACATTGGTGTTATTTCCATGTGAGCAAAACTGTCATTTCCATGTGAGCAAAACTGTCTTTTAATATATATTATTGTTTTGGGTACTTTTTAGGCTGAATTAAAAAAAAAAAAAAAGAGCATTGCTTACGTTTGTTGTGGTTATTGATGCAAAAAAATTAAATGTGTGTGAAGGCAGAACTTTATTTTTTGGTCTTGAGCGGAGTAGGGAAGGGTTAGATCAGACCTGGGCATTTAATGGCCCGCAGGCCTCATCAGGCCCTTTGGCGGTCCCTGTCTTGCCTGCGGTCCAGACACGGACTGATCGCCGGCCTGCGCTCGGTTATGGCTGGTTGACAGTGGATGCGCTGGCCTCCTAGGCTGGTGCATCAACTGCAAGACATAACCCAGCGAAGTCCCCCTCCTCTTCAGTCAGTAGTTGCTAGAACCACTGAAGCCCTACCAACCAAAACCGTCAGTTGTCCATCTCCTGTGCAGTCATTGGTTGCTAGGACCTCTGGGGGCGGGGAACACAATGACTGCAGAGGACATGGGCATCTGAGGTCTTTGCTTGGTTACCAGTGGTCCTAGCAACCAGTGACATCAGATGTGTTCCCCACCACCAGCATTACAGGAGGAAGAAAGAGTATCTTCTACCATCTTTGCTTGCTCCGCCTCCCGGCTCCTGCTTTTGGCCTAATAACAAACTAGGAAAATATGGTATGTGGGGACAATAATATAAAGGGGACAAACAATGTAAAGGGGCACTCTAATAGGGACACCTAATACTTCACACTGGTTGTTCCCATCAGAGTGCCCCCTTACACTGGTTGTTCCCATCAGAGTGCCCCTTACATTGGTTGTCCCCATCAGAGTGCCCCCTTACATTGGTTGTACCCATCAGGGTGCCCCCTTACATTGGTTGTCCCCATCAGGGTGCCCCCTTACATTGGTTGTCCCCATCAGAGTGCCCCCTTACAATGGTTGTACCCATCAGAGTGCCCCCTTACATTGGTTGTCTCCATCAGGGTGCCCTTTACATTGGTTGTACCCATCAGAGTGCCCCCTTACAATGGTTGTCCTCAACAGAGTGCCCCCTTACATTGGTTGTACAAATCAGAGTGCCCCCTTACATTGGTTGTACCCATCAGAGTGCCCCCTTACATTGGTTGTCCTCATCAGAGTGCCCCTTTACATTGGTTGTCCTCATCAGGGTGCCCCCTTACATTGGTTGTCCTCATCAGGGTGCCCCCTTACATTGGTTGTACAAATCAGAGTGCCCCCTTACATTGGTTGTCCCCATCAGGGTGCCCCTTACATTGGTTGTACCCATCAGAGTGCCCCCTTACATTGGTTGTCCTCATCAGGGTGCCCCCTTACATTGGTTGTCCTCATCAGGGTGCCCCCTTACATTGGTTGTACCCATCAGAGTGCCCCTTACATTGGTTGTCCCCATCAGGGTGCCCCTTACATTGGTTGTCCCCATCAGGGTGCCCCTTACATTGGTTGTACCCATCAGAGTGCCCCCTTACATTGGTTGTCTCCATCAGGGTGCCCTTTACATTGGTTGTCCTCATCAGAGTGCCCCCTTATATTGGTTGTACCCATCAGAGTGCCCCTTTACATTGGTTGTCCTCATCAGGGTGCCCCCTTACATTGGTTGTACAAATCAGAGTGCCCCCTTACATTGGTTGTACCCATCAGAGTGCCCCCTTACATTGGTTGTCCCCATCAGGGTGCCCCCTTACATTGGTTGCCCCCATCAGAGTGCCCCCTTACATTGGTTGCCCCCTTACATTGGTTGCCCCCATCAGAGTGCCCCCTTACATTGGTTGCCCCCTTACATTGGTTGTCCCCATCAGGGTGCCCCTTAGAGAGGGTGCTCTTGCAATGGGCTCTCTGACCCCCTTATACTCACCTTGCTCTTCCACTGCGGCAGATGACAAAAGTTCCCGATGATTCCTGGAATGGGAGAGCATGTGATGTTACGGTGCTTGGGTCTAGCAAACAATCACCAGGCCTGAGAACTGTCACATGACATAGGGATTGGTAGGGATGCATCGATACCGATAATGGTATCGGTGCCGATACAGAGTATTTGGGCCAGTACTTGTACTTGAGCAAATGATCCGAGACCTTCCCCTATACTGGAACCACAGGTCTGAGGAAGATTTCCTCTGACCAGCAGTGCCATAGAGAAACATGGAGCCGGCTTCCTGATTGCCCGGGAAGCCGGCTCCATGCTGATTGGCTCTCTCCTGCAGTACCAGCTGTATTAACCATTAATGTGAGGGGGGATTCTACACTGGCCACCATTGTAACAGGAGCATTCATAGAGACCACTAATATAATAGGACTTTTAAACAGACCACCAATGTTACAGGGGGAGATTTACACTGACCACCAATGTTACAGGGGGAGATTTACACTGGCCACCAATGTTACAGGGGGAGATTTACACTGGCCACCAATGTTACAGGGGGAGATTTACACTGGCCACCAATGTTACAGGGGGAGATTTACACTGGCCACCAATGTTACAGGGGGAGATTTACACTGGCCACCAATGTTACAGGGGGAGATTTACACTGGCCACCAATGTTACAGGGGGAGATTTACACTGGCCACCAATGTTACAGGGGGAGATTTACACTGGCCACCAATGTTACAGGGGGAGATTTACACTGGCCACCAATGTTACAGGGGGAGATTTACACTGGCCACCAATGTTACAGGGGGAGATTTACACTGGCCACCAATGTTACAGGGGGAGATTTACACTGGCCACCAATGTTACAGGGGGAGATTTACACTGGCCACCAATGTTACAGGGGGAGATTTACACTGGCCACCAATGTTACAGGGGGAGATTTACACTGGCCACCAATGTTACAGGGGGAGATTTACACTGGCCACCAATGTTACAGGGGGAGATTTACACTGGCCACCAATGTTACAGGGGGAGATTTACACTGGCCACCAATGTTACAGGGGGAGATTTACACTGGCCACCAATGTTACAGGGGGAGATTTACACTGGCCACCAATGTTACAGGGGGAGATTTACACTGGCCACCAATGTTACAGGGGGAGATTTACACTGGCCACCAATGTTACAGGGGGAGATTTACACTGGCCACCAATGTTACAGGGGGAGATTTACACTGGCCACCAATGTTACAGGGGGAGATTTACACTGGCCACCAATGTTACAGGGGGAGATTTACACTGGCCACCAATGTTACAGGGGGAGATTTACACTGGCCACCAATGTTACAGGGGGAGATTTACACTGGCCACCAATGTTACAGGGGGAGATTTACACTGGCCACCAATGTTACAGGGGGAGATTTACACTGGCCACCAATGTTACAGGGGGAGATTTACACTGGCCACCAATGTTACAGGGGGAGATTTACACTGGCCACCAATGTTACAGGGGGAGATTTACACTGGCCACCAATGTTACAGGGGGAGATTTACACTGGCCACCAATGTTACAGGGGGAGATTTACACTGGCCACCAATGTTACAGGGGGAGATTTACACTGGCCACCAATGTTACAGGGGGAGATTTACACTGGCCACCAATGTTACAGGGGGAGATTTACACTGGCCACCAATGTTACAGGGGGAGATTTACACTGGCCACCAATGTTACAGGGGGAGATTTACACTGGCCACCAATGTTACAGGGGGAGATTTACACTGGCCACCAATGTTACAGGGGGAGATTTACACTGGCCACCAATGTTACAGGGGGAGATTTACACTGGCCACCAATGTTACAGGGGGAGATTTACACTGGCCACCAATGTTACAGGGGGAGATTTACACTGGCCACCAATGTTACAGGGGGAGATTTACACTGGCCACCAATGTTACAGGGGGAGATTTACACTGACCACCAATGTATCGGGGATATTTACAGTTACCGGCAATGTTACAAGGGAATTTACTGTGACCACCAATATAATGGGGTATGTGTACACCTCCTTTGCTCACCTTTGCACACTATCTCCCCATCTACTTTCCTCTAACCCAAATCGTCCATGTATAGCTCCTGGGCACACAGCACAGATAGACACAAAGGAGGGTGCGTTGCTTTCTGAAGGGTTTCTTGATGGAAAGAGCGAGAACCTTTATCCATTAGAAATGGCATTTATCTGTCTGGCGGATACGACGACGAGGAGGTTATGGAGATCAAAGCATGCACAGCACAGCAGATCAAAGACAACTGCTCCCCATAGCATCGCCCTTGTAGGAGAGCATGTTAATGATGGCAACCCATGTGAGCTGATGGGAGTAAATAGATTTCCACTGATGTAAAAGCATTTATACGGAGTCTCTATGGGCAGCAGATGCGGCGGCAGGTCATCCGTTCCCCTGCTCTGGACGTCCTCAGCTTGGGATGGGAACACTCAAGTGGTGTGGCCAGAGTGCCAACTAATCGCTTGCTTAAAAAAAAGCAAAAACTCCCCAAGGCAAAGCACACATGGGCGGCAAAGGGTGGTACAAAACATGCGTGTTTTCTTGTTTTTGACTGGAGTTGTGCAAATATCAACCTGCTTTGATGAGTGGGTGTCAGTCTGTGGGTGTTCCTGGGCAGACTGCATTTACATACAGACCGCCCTAGCTAACGCCCACATGTGATGCTGAGCCTCCATGATTGAAAGTGAATTGAAATCCAATTAATGAAATAGGGAGGGAGGGACAGCTCGGCTAGGGAGAAAAACGCTAGATGATGCTGGATGACCACCAGGAAATGAGGCGGGCTCTATCTGACTTGCTGCAGCTTGTAATGTACATTGTGGGTAGGGTTGCCACCTTTTCTTCAAGCGAAACCCGAACACTCTAGCACAGCATATACAGGAGAGAGAGGAGAGAATTAGTTAAGAGGCCTACACTGACCACTAATGTAACAGAGGTATATACACCTATGTTCACCTCACCTCTGCAATCCCCATCACCCCCGTTTCCCTGTCCACACCTCACCTCTACAATTCACATCACCCCCCTTTCCCTGTCCACACCTCACCTCTGCAACCCACCATCCACACCTCACCTCTATAATCCCCATCACCCCCCTTTCCAATCTGTAACCTCCCCATCCACACCTACCTTCTACAACCCCCATCCACCCATCCACAGCTACCCTATGCAACCCCCCTTTTCCACTTTTCCTGTCCACACCTCACCTCTGCAACCCCCCATCCACACCTCACCTCTGTGACCCTCTCTGCAACCCTCCATCTATAGTTCATTTCTGCACCCCCACCCAGTCCAAAGCTCAACTATGAGGAAGGGGAACCTTCATGAATGGATATGAATTGAATTGAAATAATAGGATTTTTGTCTTAGCTGTAATATTCTCTTCTTGAGGTACATTACAGGACACAGGATGGAATTCTGGAACACGGGGACAATCCCAAGCAATACAACCGAGTCGTGAGCAACACAGCAAGTGAAACACCAGCAGGCAACATAACAACAGGGTAACAGAGCCCCCTAAAGAACACTCCGGCCTAAGCTGGCATCAGATGAGACTTAAACTTCCTCCTGACAAAATGTAACTAATGTGTGACCAGGCATAAGGCTTGCATACAAAACAGATGCTGGATAAGCTGATCTAGTGGAGTGCAGTGCATGAGATGGCGGAGCGAGATGCAGATTGTCCCCAGCAGGGGCACTCATGAATAACAGAAAAGAGAATCGCTTTGTCCAAATTAAGCTGTAGCTGAGAAGGAAGCTCACAAAGCACATTCCACATTCAGGAGACCTTAGAATGGTGAAATGCAGGACTAGTTTTTTGGTTTAATGCATCCGAATGGGTCTGAACACAAATTTTCGTTACGGCAACATGACATGGGGGCCATATACAGTATATATATATAATAAAAAATATATATATATATAAAATACTAAAGCTGAGGCTCCTAGACCTGAATGGCATTCAGCAGGGATGCACTGATACCAGTATTTCGGTATCGAGTACCGATCTTTTTTTTCCAAGACTTGCCGATACCGAATACCGATACCGGAAGTCCCATTAAGGAAGCCAGGCGGTGTGTAAAGACTCGCCACCCAGCTTCCCGATTAGCAGGGAAGTCATCCCCTTGCTTCTCGTCACTATCTGACGAGAAAGCATGGAGCCGGCTTTCTGGCCAATCAGGAAGCCATGCCCGTGTAATGACGCAGCGCCCAGCTTCCTGTTTGGCCGGGAAGTAGGCTTCCTGGTCAATCAGAAAGCCGGGCGCCACGTCATTACAGGGTGCCCGGCTTCCTGATTGGCCAGCTTCCCGACCAATCAGGAAGCTGGGCAGCGAGTCATTACACGGATCCAAATTCCGAAATATCCTAACCAAATTTTTCCACTGCTTACACATCTAACTTAGAGAAGGCAAGACAATGTCTTAGTTGAGGTGGAGGGGAGTAACCACCTTGGAAAGAAAGGAGGCCTCTTTAGGGAAGGGTCATTACAGGCTAAGGCCGCCAACTCAGAGACATGGCCGAGGTGATGACAACAAGAAAGTCAACCTTATAAGTGAGAGTCAACAGGGAAATATCTCTGATAGGCTCAAAGGATGGTTTCTGGAAAGACAGGTCTTGAGACACCTTTGGGTAAAGAGACTGCTCTCCTGAGCACAGACCTGGACGACTGAGGACGTCTGTCTGCTAATTTTCTACTCTTTGAATGCAGACAGCAGATAGGCCTGAAACATGAAGTTCCACCTAAGCCAAGATTTGATCTGCCTATGTTTGACTTCTGGTTACCCACTTGGTGGTTGAAGGAAGCCACTGCATTGATGTTGTCTGACTGATTCCTGGTCGGATGACCCCGTAGTTGAGAGGTCTTGTGATGAAGGGATAAATAAATCGCTCTAAGTTCCAGGATGTTGAATGGAAAAAGGGGCTTCCACGGGCAATCCAGTCCCTTGGACCAAAAGAGTGTCCAGGACTCCTTCTCAGCCTGAAAGGCTAGAATCTGTTGCTTTGACCTAGCTGTGGAGGGGAAGGAGTTCCCTGACCCTAGGGCTGGATTCCTGAACCACCAAGCCAGAGTAAACCTTGTCTTGGTGGTCAGGCAGATACGGTATGATGGTCCAGAGAACGAGCAGCCAGAATGTTATACTGCAGAAGTCTGCAGTGAAATTGGGCTCATTGGACTGGCTCAAAGGAGGCTACCATTCAGTCCAGGACCCTCATGTGCAAACGGGGGTTGGTTTGCCCCTGGATTGAAGGGTCTAAACATGGACGTAGATGGTAGTAAGTTCTTCCCATTAAATGAAGACCCTGGAAAGGGAGGAGTCCAGCAGGAGGTTCAAATAAAGTGATGAGCCGGTTCTAGTGCAGACTTCTGGTCAGGATCCAGAGGAACCTGGGAAGTGTTTGAACAGTCTGATGGGCACTGAATGATAAAATGTGTGCTGACTGTTCCCTCAGCAGAAGGTCATCCAGGTAACCCACTATGGGAAATTCCCCAATGTGCCTCTAATCTCTTAGAGACGGACAGACAGAGAGACAGATAGATAGATAGATCATCATTAATCAGTAACCTGGTTGCTGTGTTCCACTTCACTTTGCATATAATTATATTGGGCACACCCAGAAATCTTTCAGGCAAGTTCCACCACCTTGAATCACAAAAACATCCAGATGCATCAATATCACCTACCCCCTTCCCCCCTTCCCCCAACAGTTTCCTTCCTTTCACAATGACAAAGTGACTTTGACTATATGCAAATTACTTTGCATATAATTATATTGGGCACACCCAGAAATCTTTCAGGCAAGTTCCACCACCTTGAATCACAAAAACATCCAGATGCATCAATATCACCTACCCCCTTCCCCCCTTCCCCCAACAGTTTCCTTCCTTTCACAATGACAAAGTTTGTAGGTTAAAAGTTCCATCAGATCTAAGTGATCCTTTTTTCCCCCACTAACAACTAAATCTTCCATGCTTCTACCTTTGTTTTTTTCAGATAACCTCAACAGCTCCAGGACCTCTGTCCAGCCTTATGAGGCGTGGTGCTGCCTTATACCATAGTGCACAAACAAGGGGAGTGCCTGGTTGCCATGGATACAGAATGTCTATAAAAGTTAAATGTGCATAATACTAATAGTTGTGTTTTCTTTAAAAAAGCTTTCATTGGAAACGTAGTGTACAGTAGCTGCTCTGAGGACTTAGATTGGCCTGATGTAGTCTGCATTGGCTGCAGACAGAGGAATCGGTGTCACTGTGGCTATTAAACAAGATACATTTAGGACACAGTAACTATACATTGCTCCTTCCCCGAGGATTCGATACATTGCTCCTTCCCCGAGCATTCGATACATTGCTCCTTCCCCGAGGATTCGATACATTGCTCCTTCCCCGAGGATTCGATACATTACCCAAGCCAGTTCTATTGATGTTTACTGGTTTGTAATAAGCAGCTACGTTCAAAATCAATTGTAAGCAAAGAAATAGGTACTATGTGCCTCTAGACCTACATACCAGACCACAAGAGTTGCCAGGTGTACCCACTTCCCCCCAAGTGCCACGGCTCTATCCCCAGTGCCAACAACACCATCTCCCTCCAGCTCCAGGATCACGTGAGGGGCGCTCTGTGTTACTTGCACCAAATTAAATTCCTCATAACTCCCGATCCCCCCCACCTAGAGATCCCAAATAAAATGTGCCCGCTCTGTCAAAAACCCCTCTTTTAAATGCGTGGCAGATCTACCCCAAAAGCCACCCGCAACCCTGCGAAAATCGCCCCTAAACAGAGCGCCTCCCCGCCGCTAGGGCTACGACGGCCAGGGGTGCACCGATGAATCAGCCGATTTCAGGGTTAATTCCACCAAAAGGCCCCGGGTTTTTAAAGTGGGTTGCCAGCTGGGGGTCCGGAGGATGGTATGGGTCGATGGTCCCGGTCCTGGGGGGTTCGGATGGGCGGAAAACACGGGGGAAACGCGGGAGAAGAAACACAAGTCTCCTGCGTAGGGCGCTGGGAGCTGTTGTTGTTCTCAACGTGGTCCGCTCTCTAGTTATAAAAGAAGGCGGAGCACCAGCGCGAAGCGTCAGTCTGCTACAGGCAACTAGAGGGAGAGATTCTTTAGCTCTAGAGACAAGACATCACCGCTGTTATGGCTCAGACAGAGGTCGCCCCCGCCGCCAGCAAGCAAGCCAAAGGCGCCCCATCCAGTGCCAAGAAGTCCAAGAAGAAGAAGAACCAGCCGGGCAAGTACAGCCAGCTGGTGGTGGACAGCATCCGCAAGCTGGGCGAGAGGAACGGCTCTTCCCTGGCCAAGATCTACAGCGAGGCCAAGAAGGTGTCCTGGTTCGACCAGCAGAACGGCCGCACCTACCTGAAGTACTCGGTGAAGGCCCTGGTCCAGAACGACACCCTCCTGCAGGTCAAGGGGATCGGTGCCAACGGCAGCTTCCGACTCAACAAGAAGAAGTTGGAGGGGCTGGCAGTGCCCAAAAGAGCTTCATCCGCCAAGCCCGCGGCCAAGAAGCCGGCCAGCACCCCCAAGAAGACCGTCGCCGCCAAAAATGCCAAGCCCGCCGCCAAGAAAGCCAGCCCAAAGCCGGCCGCCAAGAGCCCCAAGAAAGCCGCCAAGAGCCCCAAGAAAGCCACGAAGAAGGCGACCAAGCCCAAGGCTCTGAAAGCCAAGAAGGCCAAATAGACTGACATAGGGGACTATGGACATTCGTGGATCTGATTCCATAAGGACTTTGTTTTCTTTTTTATAATCTGCAGAAGGATGAAGATGACTTTAGAAAGCACTTGTGTGTCGCAGCGTGTGTGTGCGATTCCCGCCCATGTCCCTGCTGCCTCCGCCTCCTCCCGTCTCTTCTCTGACTGCCGGTTACAATGTAACGTTCGGTAATTCTCCGAATCCAGTGCATGTCTCCGCGCTGCATCCCGAGCTTCGTAGGATTTTTTTTCTGCTTTTGTACAAATGTTTCTTTTTGTATAAATAAAAAAAATATTTGTTTTTTCTACGAAGGTTCGTGGTTTATTGGGGACTATTGGGTAACTAACTTGATGGGAATTCATCAAAGTCGGAGCACTGACCAATCAGCTTCTCTCCTGTTCAGCTTTGTGAACGAATGATAGAAGCTGAGTGGTTACTATGGGCAACAGCTCCAGATTGTGATGAATTCCCTCCATATGTTCTCAATATAGAGATGAGTTATCAATAAAGCCTTTGCTTATCAATATTGATTTTAACATTCTCCGGTATTATATTCTTATAGCTGTTTTGATATATTGTGAAGACATAATCTATTCTCAATATTGCCATATCAATGTACGCAAGTATTGAGAATGCTGATATACAATATATTGAGAATAGATCAATACTTGAGAATATTGATCGATAATGGCCACACAGAGAATAGATCAAGTCTGTGGAATATATAAAAATAACAGCTATAAATAAGAGATCAATGCTTGAGAATATTGATATATATTGACTGCATTTTGAAAGGATCCAAGTATTGATTTATTCTCAATATATTCATTATTGACCTATTCCCAAGTTTGAATCTATTCTCAGGTATTGATCTATTCTCAATAAGACTATCAATATTCTCAGGTATTGATTTAAAATATTCCCATTATAATTATTCTATTGACATGGGAGTAAATCAATACCTGAGAATATTGATAAATAGCCTTATTGAGAATGTATAGCAATATTCAAGTATTGATCTCTTCTCAATAAGGCTATTTATGAATATTCTCAGGTATTGATCTACTCATGTCAATAGGATAACTATAATGGGAATACTGTAAATCAATACCCAAGAATATTGATATATAATAGCTGTATCAAGAATCGATCAATACCTGAGGATATTCATAAACGGCTTTATTGAGAATAGATCAATTCTTGATATTAATGTATAAGAGCTATACCAAGAAAAGGATAAATATTGATCTATTCTCACTCAGTATACCTATTATATATCAGTATTCTCACATATTAATATATTCTTATTATAGTGATTATATATTAATGTTCTCAGGTATTGATTACTCTCAAAATATCAATAGAATAACTGTAATGGGCATAAATCAATAATTTAGGATAATTACATAAGAGCTATATCAAGAAAAGGCCAAGTATTGATCCATTCTCAGCATACCTATTATATATCAATATTCATAAGTATTATATCAGAATTATTATATTAGGAATAGATCAATAGTTCAGAATATTGATATATAATAGGTATGCTGAGAATGGATCAATACTTGGCCTTTTCTTGATATAGCTCTTATATATCAATATAAAGTTTTGATCTCTTCTCAATATAGCTTTTATATGAATATTGTCAGGTATTGATTTAGACGATTCCCATTATCATTATCCTATTGACATATTATAGCTATAGTGAGAAGAGATCAATACCGGAGGCTATTGACATATAAGCTCTATTGAGAAAAGGTGAAATATTGATCCATCCTCACTAGAACTATTATACATCAATATTCTCAGATATATTCTACCATGGTGATGTCGTACTCCTTAGCGATAGGAAACCCAAAAATCTGGTTGCCATGGGATACTACAGAGACGTACCCTGTAATATTTGGGATCCTGTTAAGAAATGGGGGGGGGGGGGGTCCCGGGGGGGAACAAGGTGTGG